TGAACACAGAAATAAGCAAAGGGTCGGTAAAGGTCTAAATAGTAGGGCTGCAACTAACGATTATTTTGCTAATCGATTAATCTGTCCATTATGTTTTCAATTAATAATTGGATAGCCAAAGATTCCTTAAAGAAGATGTTTTAAGAAATTAAACCAGGTTAAACTAAAGATTTTCCACTAGAGGAGTTCTGGATGGAGCATATTGACAGAAGAAATTTGTTTTTTTTATGTTAAATGCAAAATGTTGAGATATATCGTTTTACAATCTTGGCATAATTACTGCTCTAAGTGAGTTGCTCTGTCAGCTACAGAAATGTTTTGCAGTCTCTATTCTCGAGCGATTGCTAAATTAGTTGACAACTATTTCAATAATCAATTGATCACAATTAATCCGATTAATTGTCTCATCCCTACTAAATACCAGTCTTTACTACACTTAAGTTTGGATAGTGGACCAAAGACTGGAAATATAAATATTTCTTCTCAATTTTCCAGACTGCTTAGGAACCCTGGTTGTTCCATCTTAGAAAAGGTTCAGATTTAAGCTAACTAAAGGAATATCGTCAGTAATCAGCAGTTGCACCTTTTTCTGCCGCGCCGTGATTTGCTCCCTGTATGCTTCCACCTGAATGAGCACAATGAGCTACAACTAAACGCCTGATTAAACCTGAGGCACAACAAAAGACAGACATTCTGCTTTGCTCATATTCCCACTGGGTAACCTCAAATTGAAGCTGCAGTCTCTGACAGATTGGCCCTTCAAGTGTCTCTGAAAAATACTTCTTAATATTCTGCTTACCAGAATGCTCTACATGTTCTATGCAAATACTTGTGTTCTTCCAGGAGGCCAATATATATATCTGATAAACAGCAAATCTACCGCTGCATATCCTCAGCCTGCAGCAATTCTGATAAATGCATCATAAAGCAAAGTCACTAAGATTAAATCATTTCTAAAACTCTGCATGCGGAGACGGGTTTGGGTGGGTCTATAGTAGATGTCCTGCTCTGTCGTCTCTGCATCAAAGAAAGAAAAGATCCCAGAATAGCATCAGGCACAGAGGGGAGCAGACAAGCCCCAAGTCAGCCCTGTCATAAATCACAGGTACACAGGGAGGAAGGAATCACCCTCAGGACAAAAAAAAAACTGCATAAATGTCTTTGGTGTAAAATGGTCACAACCTACGTGTGTCTGTTATCATCTCATATAGGCAGGACAAAATCTGCCTTTAAAAGCCAAGACTTTTTATGCAAGCACACACTTCTCCATGACTCCTCTCACCTCGAAGGGTCTCTCATCAGTATGTGTCCTCATGTGAACGCTGAAGGTGGAATTGTATGCAAACTCCTTGAGGCAGATTTCGCAGCGGAAGCGTGGTCGGCTTTTGGACTTTGAGAGCTTTCCCTGGAAATGGGCCAGCACGTGCTCCTCCAGGGCGCTGTTGGAGGTAAATCTGCGGCGGCAGGGCCTCACTGGGCACTTGAGCGGCGTCTGGCCCGTGTGGGATAAACGATGGAGATCGAGGCCCTCTTGGGTCATGCAGCGGTGACCGCAGAGGTCACACTCGACCTGTGGGGGGAAGAAGGACAGAGAGAGGACAAAATATAGAGGAATGGAGACCAACAAGCAGCGCATGTTCGAACTGAGGCACAAATAAAATAGTTTAGATAAATAAAACAGATCAAACCCTGTAAAAATACTTCACTGAAACTATACATTGGTGCAGTGTGTAATTTCACACCGTTATCTTCGATTAGTCAAATCCTTTAATCTGAGGTGTTTTTAAAAAAATAAATAAACCAACTGCTGTAAAGTAAGTCTTTTTTTATACTTTTCTAAAATACAACAATGTCAGCTCAGTTATCAAGAATGCAAAAAGAACGTCTCCATAGCAACCATCACATACTGCCAAATGTTTGCTTTTCAGGGTGAGGGAGGTGTTTAAAAAAAAGAAAAAAGAAAAATGTATATTTTATATTTTTTAATGCTGTGATGCTGTGGTAGCATCACAAATATATATATTTTTTGGAATTTGCTTAAAAACAGATTGTGCTTTTTGGCAACACCTTGATGCAACTCATACAAACTTTTGGGTTGGTGGAGGATCCATCATGCTGTGGGCCTCCTTCTCCTCTTAAGAACATGCGACTGGTAGTGAACATTTGTGCAGTGAAAACGGGAGAAAGCAGCTAAGCAATTATAAGAAGGGTTTTGTTTGCTGAAAGATTTGTTTTACTTAATTGGGAAATGTGTAAATTTTGATTTGTCATTTTATAGTTAAAATGTGAATAAAACTAATAAAATCTATAGCTTTTAAATTTTATGCCACTTTTATATGGTATATTTTATATCTGTCTGTTTGATAGATGTCAGTGTAATTTCCCTACTGGAAACAATTCACACAAAAATAACCACTTATCTGAATTTGCCAGGGCTATGAATAAATCTGACACCATACCTTCCCAAAGATTATTTTCTTTGCTGAAGATATATATATATATAAATATTTAAAATGTTCCTACCTGTCCAGTGGAGCGACCACGGCCTTGTCCACGTCCACGGCCGGTGTTCCTGTCCTCCTCTGTGACAGGACACCGCTGCAGGTGGATGTCCAGCACTGACTGGTTGATAAACTGTGACGCGCAGTGCGGGCAGGTCACTGGCTGCTTGTCTGTAATACAAATAGGTCAGGTTTTAGACTAGGAACGTTCTCTGTCTCCAGTGTTCCAACTACAAAACATTCAACAAATAATACTTTCATTCACCAATAATGTTCCGCAGGCTATTTAAAACATAACCTAAATACTCTAAAGACGTGTGTCATTAAAAATATGTTGTAACAGCTGATCCTCGCATAGATATGTGGCTGTTAGTACACAATTATAATGGATTCATAATGAAAGAAACAACAAAACATGTGTTGAATCCAGATGTTGTCATTCTCTGTTCTGTCCCCAGTGACGCCGCAGTGACTGATCCACACTAAATATTAATTAAACACAGCACATTACCAATCTCAGATATAATTAGCTATCCTTTCATGTGTCTATCAGGCTTTTCTTTTAATCCTAAACATGTACCCATTAGCTGTAGGGTAAAGCTACAAACAACCTGCCACCACATCCATCTATCAACAACATCACATTAAACTCCTCTTTGTCAAACCAAACCTGAATCTAACCTTCATTCTGCAAAAAAAAAAAAAAAGGTTGGTCTATTTTGCTTCAACCAAAAGATTCTAGTGATGAAACATTTAATAGAATTTACAATATTAGCAACACTGTTACCACTGATACAGTCGACATTGTTTTTCAAAGACATGAGGAAGTGGTCTGCACTTGATCTGACATGGACAGGAGCGGAGGATGTGGATTCCCACAGTTGTCAGAACCTAGATCAATACCATGCTGATTTGTACCAATCCAACCATCTCTTCCTTTTTTGTAAAAGTGAGCATATAAACATTTACAAGAAAAAAATATTTCCATTTTACTCTTTTGTTTACTTTACCTGAAATTGTACTAAATTGGAACCGAAGTCAAATTAAAACCATTTCTGATTTGGTTCTGGCATGTAAATTCACTGCTTTTCCAAGAATGTTACCAAACTTTAACCCCAATCAGTTCCTTAAAACTGATTTCACTCAACTACTGAAATCCTGTTTGAAGTCAAGCCAAACCTTTTTAATATTACTTCTCCCATTAATAAAAGAGCTGGTGCTGGATTAGGTAACAAAAAACCCAAATGACAAACAAACCCAAATTTAATGAATAACCACAACTAAGTGAAAAATCTTGACATTTCTAAAACTTTTCAGGTCTAAATTTAAAATAAAAAAAAAAAACTTTCAGCAGTTTTATGTTTACCAGCCATCATTTAGGTTTAGCCATCTTACTCTAAAATACTCTAAAATAACAGGTAAACAAGTAAAAGTTTATTCATGTATAGAATATAGAAGATATTCTTAAAAATAAATAAATAAAAGAAAGTAAAATAAAAGATCAAATATGCATCTTTGCAGCAATGATGTTCAGTTTTCTTTGGTATATATATATATTTTTTTTAAACCACTGACTATCAGCTGGTTCAGCTCCACATGTATTATGGAATCCCTTCAAACTTGGACTCTACACCCCTGCCTTCAACGGTTGCTCTGTCTGCTGCCAGAAGGGGGCGCAAGTGTTCACCTGTCTTTATGCAGGCCTTCGATGACATAGTATGCAACTAGCAGGGCAGGCGGTTTGTCCATGTTTTCATGGCGCTGAGTCAAGATCCTATAACAGGCAGGTTTTACACATATACTTCAAAATAAGGATGTAAATTTGTTTTGTTTTTTTTTTTTTATACAGTTTCTGTAGCCATTACAGTTATTATTATTCAGCATATTGGGCTTATTCAGCTAAAGGGAGCCCAGATTTCAGTTAAAGCGACGATACGCTCATTCAAATAATTCATTTCAAAGCAAATTATTCAAATGGCAGGACAAAAAATGTTTGAGATCAAACATCACATAAAATACAATCGTCCAACTTGATAAAGAATCTCCTATTACTTTATGACTTCTAACATATAACCTTATAATACTGAAGGCTCTTCACATCCTAATTCATATGGTGATAAGTTGCAAAGCAGTGAACTAAGCAGCGGTTTCTACTATTTTTCTGCATCGATCAATTTGATGGTTAAACTAGTCGATTGGTTTCTATACAGCTGGTGTCCCAGATAGGTTTTGGCAAAGTAAACCAAACTCTCAGCGGGTCAATCTAGAAAAGCTGGCAGCAAACTGCTGGCATTGATGGTTCATCGTTATGTCCAAAGGCCATCAAGCCAATATCTCACAATCTGCTAACCATCTGCAGTGTGTATCCCATTAGCGAGCTGCACTCTGCTCCCTGCTGGGACCCCCTAATTAAACCTTTAATAAGGACAATCTCAGCTTACAGCCTTGGACTGATCAATAGATCAATCTCTCCCATCATCTTTCTCCAAGGAGACACGTCCCTCTGACCTCTGCTGGACGCTGACTCTTCGAGCTTAACTAATGAGGTTGCAGTGCCAACACCCCCCTGATTAAGATGAAGTGTCAACATGTTGACCCAGTTCATTTACCTCCGCCCAGCTTCTCCATTCCATTTGGCATACAAATCAATTCAAAATCAGTGATTTCAGAGGAAGGACAAACACAGCGCACTGCTGCGTGTAAATAAAAAAAGAATAAACCACCTACAGTCTGATTCATTTATCAAGAGATTTGAACTAATTGTTTGCTGTACTGATAAGAACATCATCTCTGATTGATTTCCATTACAGTGAGCTATGGGCTTTCATTCGGTTCCTCGTTATGCTCGTCACATTCTGTCAGTTTCCTATCCCTGCATTGAACTGCCAATGAAAGCCAACAATAAGCAAGGTTACACAGAGGTAGACGAAACGAAAGCTGGAATTAAAAGCAAACGTTTAAACTCAGACTGCTTCACTTTGTCCTGGTAAGCTCACCTTGATGTATGAGAGAGTGAAGGTCCAGGTCCTTCCTGCGTTTGAAGGCCTCTCCACATTCAGGGCAAGGGAATGGATGGCTCGTATGGAGCAATCTATTGACAGAGACGGGTTATAATTCAATAGAACATCTCATATGGGGCAGATAAATACATATAAACACAACTAAAGCATGAACAGGTAGGGTTAATACGATGCTAAATGTATCTGAATTAATATCAGTCGATCTAAGACATTTTTAACAAAGGTCCTTTGAATGGAACGGGACAAATATTAATACCGTAGATATGCTCATCTTGTTGAACTTAATAGTGATTGCTGGTGTTTAACTGAAGCAGAGAACGATAAAGAAGCCAAGAATATTTCAGCAAGTTTCCTATCGGTGCTTCTTTAGTTAATGCATGTGTCAAAATTGATGACTTTTAAAAAAACTTTTTTTTAACCTGGCATGAGCCAGATCGATCGTTGTACTTTAATTTGAATTTTACAGCATCCTTCTGAAAACGCTCCTGTTTGCAAAAGGTAGGGACATTTATAAAATTCTTCGAGCTGATAGGGTAAATGACAAAGTGGCCCAGCCTCTCATATCGAGGTTTAAGCCAACTGTAGCAGCAGCTGTGCTGTATCACATTCTTGATTTGTTTCACAACTAGTTAAACTGAAAAGTCAAACTCTTGCCAAATCCAACAAGGAGGAATGTGCAAACGTCTTTCCCATCCACAAAGGCACAAATTGTGTCCTTTTGCAAAATAGCAATAGATGGTATCAGAGCTAAAACGGACTAAACAGCGGAGTCTACAGGTACGCTTACCGACACATCTATGGTTGTTTTGTTTCAGCCCGTTGCTTCTGGTTGACATCAAACATGTCACTGCAAACCATTTATTCAAAGGGTAATGTAACATTTGGCTTCTGGTAAGATGTTCTTTCAGGGGTTTGTGAATTTACAAATCTCATGACAATTCATCTTGTTTGGAAGGTAAAAACTCTTACCTTCCAAACAAGCTTAAAAGTTTCCAATCAATAACTGGCAGATCAGGCTTTGAACAAAGAACCTTGAAAACAATATAGCAGCATGGCGAGGAAAGGAGCCATCTAAATGGAGGTTTAGTCACAAGATTTCTCCAGAATTGAGGCAACAAACTCTAAGTTGTTGAGACAAGAAACTAAGTATTATTAGGTTTGTAACTTTTACATTTCATCTACTATTGCCTAAAGGACAGAAGAACTAAATATAAATATCTTCAAAAATATAAATAGATGCCGTTATGGTGTGCTTGTTATGCTTGACGCATGTAAAACTTGCATGGAAAATGTGCTCTAGGGGGGCGTTTTCAGAATGGCAAGCTGATGACACCACAATAACAACAACAACTTCGTCAAAGCTTCTTCATGCCATTCAAAAGCAGCTGTCATTTCGTTCCAGGGGTTTTTCAACAATTTATTGATAGTGGTGGCCCCATGGAGAGTCATGGAAGCCCAGCATGATGTAATCTGGCTGTGTAGGCCTCGCAGACACGTCAAGCATAAACCAGGCTTTAGCAATAGAGTTCCAATGTTTACTGCCACTGGTGTCCTTGAACAACCAGAGTCAATAGTCAGTAAATTGCACTTAGTTGATCCCTTTTCTATTTTGTTTTTTTTTAAGGCAGTCACGCAACTACAACCATACAATCTGGTGCCACATATAAGACCAAAAGGAATAGTTCAATATTTCTATCATCACTTTTATCATTATTTTAAAAAGTACTAAAAAAATATTGTGATAACTTAAAACTCTCCATCTCCCCCTCCCAACAGGAAAATGAATTGAAGAATGAAGAGAGGACTGATAGGAAAAAAGAAAAATTTAGATTTTATTTTTCTCATTCAGTTCCGGTTTGGAAAATATGTCAATCAACTTCTAGATTTTCCCTGACTGAGTAGGAACCTTGTACATTGGTAGCCATTAAACCCCAGAGGTAATTAAAAGAGGAGATTATCACACCTCCAAATATAAAAACTAAATTTCCAAATTACACACCTGTATAAATCTGTGATAGAAATCACAGTTTGCTTTTCACTGCCTCGCTACATTTGTGGGAGGATTAGCAGCATGTGTGTACTTAGCAGTACTCCAGTTTAAATAAAGGCATTAGCTGAGTGTATAGCAGCTAAAGATAAAAGAACAGCAATAAACTGGGAGGAGCTACGGTCAGGACATGAAAGACTATATTTATCCATTGCATAAGTATAGCGAGTATAGCCTTAGGGGAGGAGAACAGTGTAAGGATGTATTCACCTAACGCAGCATTAAGGCTGCGTTCATAGTGTGAAGGACCAACAAATGCTGCTGTTACACCAGTTTCCCCTAAACAGAACAAACGTAGGAGGATGTTTTAAGTTTTAGAGCATTTATCCTGACTTCAAAGGAGCATCCTTTTTCACTACATACACATAAATACGTCCCTGTTAATTCATACTATATTAGGTACGTTTCATCATAGATGCACTGAACCAAACTGTAAAAATAAAGCACTAAAGGTGAAAGCAAGGTCAGTGCAGGAAACCAGAAAGTTTCTCTCGCCTGTTAAAAAGACAATAAAATCAATATCAGGGAGAACTGACCTCAGAGGCACCTGGAGGATAAACTATTTCAGACAAGACATTGTTCCACCTTTTCAGGTATTCTTTACAGAAAGTAGAGATAAAAATCACCCTTTTTAATCATGTGTTTTTGTCCTTTAATCAATCACTGTATTTCCTTGAACCAAATATGGAAATCCTACAACATTAAAAATGTAAAATGGTCACTTTCCCTTTCATTACAAGAAAGAGGACATTAGGAAAGGCAGTTAGTCCAACCAGAGATGGAGCAGTATGGCACATAAAATGAATCAATCAGACAAGGACATACTGAAAATGTAAACATTAACCTTAATAAGGATTAAATAAAGTGCTGCACATAGAATTCATGCATTTTACATTTATTTTTCAACAGCAAGTGCAAACTTTTAGGTTTGTTGCATTGATGAATGCTTTAGTCAAGTCTGGCAGTTCTGTAGTGCTGGATTTTGTTTTGATGTATTAGGATGAATGAGAGTGGGGAAAAACAAAGCTTCCACTTGAATTTGCCTAAAAACCTTTTATAAATTATGCATAATTTCATCATCCTCCTGAAAAAGCATTGCTTTTTCCCTTGTCTCTCACATGAAATCAACATGAAATACATGGTTCACGTGATATGAATTATTTTGTAAGACACTGCATATTCCTAGAGATTCCATTAATCTGATAGCATTAAGAGAATATTCAATTATAAATTTTCCATTTTCCTAATTAAATTTCTAGATGTGATCTCAAGGCCACTCACTGGGAACCACTGCAGCACCGGGTCGTCCTTGGATATCATTGATAAAAAGGGAAACCATTAAAAAAGTATTAAACAGGGAAACCAAATGAACCATCTGTCCTTCGCTGTTCATCACAGACTTGTTTCTGCTAATCAGATCAATGTGATACAGGCCAGTTGGTAAAAATCAAAGTCCTGCCAAACCCATTTTGGAGATGAATAAAAAAAAAATAAAAAAAACCTCTTTCATCAAGAACATCCTTTAAAGTCTTTCACATGTAATTAAGGCAAAGCGCATATACACTAATCTCTCTGCTAAAAGTGTGTATGCATGAGGCTGCAATACAAATGTATTTGACTCCATAAGGAGCCAGGATTAGCCCAGATTATTTACTTGAGGCAAGTCAAAAGATATACAGTATTTGGTCCAGAGAATCAAAGTCCTGATGCTTTCTTTGAAAGATCAGACAGACTATTATATTTTACTGTGAAATGGGTCTTTTTTTGCTTTGGGAGTGAGAGCAAAGATAAGAAATAAAAAATGTGAAGCTTTTATGTTAGCTTTTTTTTAATGTTTATGGCTTCCAAGATAATTAGATGAACGATTAGTCATTTAAGAGCCAAAGCTAATGTATCATTACCCAGCAGTTGTTTCAATAAGATCATCATCTTGCAAAAAAAAGTGTGTTTCATTTCTCTTATATTTGTATTACAAACACATAGAGTAATGTTGATATTCTCAACACATTTCAGCAAGGAAGGATATGACCAAGCTTGTCCACCTTCCTATACTGTTATCATTACCATCTTAATTTACTCGGCCTCTAGCTGTCAATCGCATGCAGGCTCAGGCTCAAAGGCACCCAGACATCTGCATGTCTGCTGCTCAGCTTAAAGGTCTAGCACAGCATTCGGACACAGCTCGGTTCGCACAGCCCATCGACAGGAGGAGAGGTTATCTAAATCCTGTGCTTGCTCTATAATTTTAAATGTAAACAGACTTCTAAGAATGATTGAATACCGCCAACCACATGACATGGTGTAGTTATTTCTACCAATGGCAGCAGATATCCAGTGAGAATAATACTAGAAGAGGTTATTACCTGTGATCATTAAGCTGTTCTTCAGTGCTGAAGTGTGATGGACAGTGCGGACAAGGAAAGAGAGAAGCAAATCCATCAGCGTCCACGTTACATGCCTGCTTCGACAAACACAAAAAGTCCAAATCGATAAGAAAAACAATTTCCAAACGTGTTATCATGGTAAAGAATAGATTTGAAATTGTTTTCTGAATAAAACGAATGCATCTGCTGGAACTATAGTGCTTTGGAAAAGTATAGATAGCACAACCTTTTCATATATTGTCATGTTGGGGAAAAAAATGCACAATTGAATGCATTTTATGTGACAGAATCAAAGCAAGTTTCAATGTGTCATGATGTGAAGATGTGGAAGAAATGTGGAAGAAAAGAAAACGTGGTTTTCTATTCGAAAAAAAACAAAACAAAAACACAATGGCCCCAAAGAAGCGACCTTCATTTATATTCAGCCTCTTTTTCTATCAGACAGCAAAATACAATCTATACAACTAATTGTCTACAGAAGTTAAATTATCACTAAATTTAGTCAACATGCCTGTAAATAAATCTCATATTTATTCAATGAAGGAAATGATTAAACTGGGATCCAAAGGTCCATGGTAACTCTGGGGGATGTGCAGAGATCTACAGCTCAGTTAGAGCTATTATCCACAATTAACATCAAAATAAACCTTTTCTGGCATAGGTGCAAAGCACTATGTGTACAAGAAAATTAACATTGCAGGCACCTCTTAAAAGATCATTTCCATAGCGAAACAAGGTGGTGGCAGCATCATGCTGAGAGGATGCTATTCTCCATTGAGAAAGTAAGACAGGAAGATTTAAACGTGGAGGAATACATTTGTTTACCAGAAGATCAGCCCCCCTTGGTATACAAAGAGGGCTAAGATCAAATTATTTTATAAACTAGTTAAAATCTAACCATACGTAACAAGATTTAAACATTGATGTTTCTAAACATTTAATCTAAGAAGGAGCTATTTTGCAAAAAAAAGAAGCACTTAGAAATAACTTCTTAAAGTTATTATTTCAGTAAGCTAAATACAATTTTTATTAGTTATAATTTTCAGAATTATTAACTGCCATTTGTTTGTCTATCACAAAAATCCTAATAAAATACAATTTATATTTGTTACATGACTGAATTGAAAACATTGAGGGGTATGGATTACTTTTGCAGAGCACTGTAGTTTAAGCTTTAGCATGTCAGGACTGATTTGATGAGGGGAGAAGGGAAACTTTACTGGTTTGCGGCCTCTCTTGCGCGGAGGTTCCGTCGACGTGTGAATGAGTTGGTGTCTTTTCAGGGTGGTTGCCTGCGAGAAGCTTTTCCCACAAACGTCGCAGCAGAAGGGCTTGTTGCCCGTGTGGTTCATGCTGTGTCGCAGCAGGCTCTGGGAATTGGTGAAGGACTTTGTGCACACCTTTACAACAACAACAACAAAGAGGATTAGTGAGATGTACATGATTATGGGAGTTTTAATTACCTTTTGGGTAACAAAGATACATCTGTGTAACTGAATGCAATAACTGAAAGGCTGTCTGGACACATTACTATAGATATTTTTCACAATAGAGCTAATAAAATTGTGGGGAATTTTTTATTTTGATGAAATCATGTCATCCTCAATAAAATCCTCCACAAATGTGTAAGGGCTTTTTATGTTACCGTTATAAAATCAGTATTTTATCCACGGATGCCCACACCTGACAGACTGCATAGGTGTATGCTTAATCAAAATCTAATTTTCAAAACATTTCCTGTTGTTCAAAGACACCGGGGGAGCTGTCAGATTTAATGAGCCCGGAGGCTCAAGCTGTGTCATCCTCCTCACTTAGAAGTATTACATCATCTCATCAAAGTCAGCCTCACGACCTAAATGATCTTTACATCAAAGCAAATTATCCCTGAGATTCAGGGAAAGGGACACTTTGATTAGGGCTTCTGACTGGCACCTTGCACGTGAAGAGCTTCTCTCCGGTGTGGCTGTAGACGTGGGTGCGGAGGAAGACGCGCCGAGTGAAGGTTTTGCCGCAGTAAGGGCAAACGTGGGGCAGCGGTGTTCTGGCCCAGTCTTGCAGTAACTTGGCAGGTGGAGGTTGGTTCGTGTTGTTCACGTCAGCTGCAGCGCTGCCCTCAGAGTCATCTTTGGCCGCTTTGTTTCCTGATCACATAAATCAAGAGTTATTAGGGAAAACTCCTGCAGGAAGACAGCGCCAAACAAAGTATTCATAGACTGCCAACTGTTTAGTGATGCTACGTTCACAAACTTTAATGCATCATATGGTGTTAAGCTTCATAGCTGTAAAAGTTTGAGAGAAAAAAAAAATTGTTTTAAAAAGGTTTTTCTGATTAAAATCCAAAAAAGTGAGCCATGTACTGGCATTCAGACCCCCTCAATGTGATAGCGTTGGATAAAATCCAGTCTAGGCAAACAATATATCTATTAACAATGAAGCCAAGATGATAAAGCTAACTACAGAGAAGGAACTGAGATTATGCGAATTCATCCGACTCTGCAAGCTCTGATGCAGTGCTTGTAGAGAGGCTCCAATAAGGCATAGTGTGAGCAGATCCTGATCAGTGTAGGATTATGCTGCATTTTTCCAGTGTAAAAAAAAACCAAATAGAAACAATGGCCCACATTTGAGTGAGTCAGATTATGAAAAATCTATAAAGTATATATTTGTTTAACAGTTGGAGGTCAAGAAAGCAGAGTCACCATCATAGAGCCCCACTGGCTGTCAACCAAATATAAAGCGAGTCTCTATAAAATATAATGCTAAGTATGTTTAAAGCAAACTCTGCAACGCTAAAGACTTTGGAACGGCTTATATCTGGATGAGCCCAATAAAAAGTCGTTCTTAAAGAGGGTTTCTAAGGTTTGTCCTAGATTTCCTTTTGTTTTTATTTAAAAAAAGTAGTGAGTGCAACAAGCTTTACCCATAACATATTGTCCATTATTGTTTTTAGACCTAAAAGAGGACGGCTATTTACCTTTCCTGTCCTTCTGACGTCTTTAAGTACACTGTTTGTTAAAATGCTTTATTAATTGTTTATATACAAGTCTGGTGAAACCTTGTTGGTATACTTCGCGAGTCAGAAATTTAACTTTGCATATTTGAAGATCAACATGTACCACGGCCTTGTATGACCAGATTTTCCTTCAGATTGGACAATAAATTGTGTCCAGGCCTGTATCCATGCAGGCTCGACATGGTCATTATGGAAGAATGTCAAGAAGAAAACAGTGTGGCATTTTGAGGATGTGACAGCGCCAAACTGTGGGGATGCTATTTTATAGTAGCAGGATTCTAACCAGGATTTTTGGACTATAAAGGTTACGGGGATTGGTGGAGTGCACAGAATGTTACTAAAGAGAAAAAAGTAAGATTGTTCATCTTCCCTCCTCCATCCATCTCTTTCTCTTTGCTAATTCAGGAAGGGCCTTGTTGTTGGGGCATAGAACCACCTTTGGATAAAGATAGCAGAAACGCTGAACCTGCTTTAGCCTTTCCCATTAAACAAAGATTAGAGGCATAACCAAAAAAGGAAAAAGTGAATACAGAAAGTGTTGACTAAAGCAGGATAAGGGGTTGAAATGCACAAATGCATTACACAATAAAAGAATTTTTTTTTATATATATATATAGCTATTCTAATAATATTTCACTATCCCTAACTCTTTCAGACAAACTGAAGGTTTAAAAATAAAGATATGAAGAAGTCTGTAAGAATAATTTCCTCTCACCTTGTTGGGCGTTAGCACTAACGATCCTAAATGAAGGCCGACCTCTCTTAGGAAGGGGGGACCCAGATTCTCCAGCAGGGGGGGAAAGCCGTTTCTTTGAGCTTTGTGCGCCACCCTCAGACGTGGCGTTGGCTGATCCATCACTTATTTCGACCTCATGAGCCGCCGCGTTCATTGTGGTGGAACGATGCTGGCGCCAGTGGTACAGAAAATGAGTTGTGTTCATGAACTCCTCCCCACAGTGGGAGCAAGTATGAAGAGGAGCAGTGAGGCTGTGCTTTTCCTTACGATGTGAAGCAAGGCTTATGCCATCTTTGAAACCCTGGGCACACTGGGAGCAGAAGAAATGCTCAGGCTGTGTGAATTTGGGTTTCACAGAGCTAGAGGAAGAAGCTGAATCCTGAGTATTGCTCCCGTTGTTGAGGGTGTAAACCGCTGCTTTGACCTCAGGGGCCGCCGCCACCGTTTCCTCACCCTTCTGCCTGTGCTGTTTTCGGTGATAGAGGAAAAGCGTGGTGTTTAAGAAGCTTTCTCCACATACAGAGCAGCGGTGCAGAGCTTCCTCAAAGCCGTGCTGGGTCTTGCGGTGGGACACCAGCTCAGACACCAGACCAAAACACAAGCCACAATCCACACACAGCAACACCGGCTCAGGCTTTGGCTTTTTGGTTACCCCTCTCCTCCTTGGAGATGAATCATCTGAAGCAGGCACCTCAGCAGCAACACCATCTGAAGTCTGAGCTGAGGAGGCCTCTGCAGCCTTAATCTCAGCTGCCTCTGCAGCAATTCCCTCTTCTAATGATTTAAGGGCCTGGCTGCTTTCACTGTTTGAGACGGAAGCATCATCTGTATTAATTGAGGCAGCCTGGTTGTCAGCTGTGGAGATCTCTGGCTCCACCTGTGACTCCAACGCGGCCTTCAAGGCAGCTTGCTCACAGCTCCCTTCTCTGCGATGCTTCTGCCACTCTTCAAGGCTCTTGAAAAGTTTATCACAATCCCCACACTGGTAGAGGATTCTGGGCTGGTCTGTTTGTTGCCTTTCAGCTTCCGCACCATCTTCAAGTTCTTTCTTAATGTTGTGCACGGGGGAATGAAGTGAGTCACCCTCCGTCTGAGGAGCATCGCTCTCTGGTCTATCGCTTTGTTGGATCGTAGCGGCCCTGGAGATGTTTATTACATGTTGCTAAAGAAAAAAGGGGAGAGAAGACAGTTTTATTATTTTCAATGTTTACATGACCTTTCCCTTAAGAAAATTACATGGGCAGAAGGATCCATTAGCATTTCTGTAAATCAAATCTACCCTATAGCGTTAATCTCATATCTGCTTTTTTCCAAGTGGATGAAAAATGGCCGTTCATTGTTGGGAAACGCGGGGGAAAATGGGCCAGCATACTTAGAACCAAGGTTCCTAAGAGTTGTTCAGGTACAGCCTCAGCATGAATGACATCATGCTGAAGAGCCATCAAGGTCAAACACGTCACTGGATCAGGTTTCAAATTTGCTCCTACCCACTTGTATAACAAGAAAAAGAACATGGGGGTCAAGTCTAAAGAAATTTGGAGCTCCTTTAATCACTCTAGCCTCACATGACTCACAGTCTAATGATAAGTTGGCTGAGGTGGCATTCAGATGTGAGTCATAAAGACCCCTTTCCAGAAAAAAGCTCCCCTATTGTAACCACATCTCAAAATTAAAATGCATCTTACTCTAAAAGATTATTCACTCCATGTAAAAATGAATGTGAATCACAAGCTGTACCCTCTAACACGTATTTATACTCAACAGTACCACTACTCACAGTATAGAACAATATCCATGCTAGGCTAAAGCCTTATGAAATGAACCTTTATTGGTTCTGTTTCGCTGAAATGTATTGCAGTTGTTACCTGGGATACTCTTCAAGTAAAGTGAATACAGCTGCCGTTGGAGTCACTAATTACTGCAAAGCAAGTAATTAAGCAGGAAGCCAAGCGGGAAAAAAATGCAAAAGCAAATGTGGATTGCAAACTGCCTGCTGCGCCGTTAGACAGCAACAAAATCCTCCAAGCGTGTGCCTAGCTTTTATAAAGTATGCATCACCAGATCAGACAATAGAAAGATATTAAAACTGTTATACTTAAGATTTTATTTCACATTTTGTTTATGTTACAGAGGACTGCAAACTGGCACATAATTGTTAGGTACAAAAATAAAATAAAAAAAATGTTTTTTTTAATGCAACTTGGGGAGAAAAACAAAAAATTTAGTTTGTAGTCAGTTACGATATCAAAATTATAAATAAAAAAAAATCCAAACAGTTTGTATTCCTAGATGAAAAACCTTTTTGTCCATTAATATTCTCCATCCAGTAGTCCTCAAAGGCCAGCTTTAGCTTCACTAGGTTTTATTTTTTGTAAAATCTCCTTTAGGGAACCTTTTGCTATGCGACTATCAATTAATCAAAAAAAAAAAAAGAAATCAACAGACTAATCGATTAGCAAAACAGTCATTAGTTGCAACTCTACATGAATTTACAGGTTTTGCTAAAGTTTCTCCATTAGATTAGAAGAAAAAGAAAAGAACCTTTGATCTAAACCCTTCAATAGTCTGTATGCTAATGGTTGCTGTTCTGTTGGTAGGTATTCACCTGCTATAGCCTTGATTCTTAATAGATTTCATCTTCCTACTTAAGAAATCAGCAGTCACACAGCATGATATATCCACCACTGTGTCTAAGTATAAGGATGGAGTGTTCCGACTGGTGGAATACATAAATTTAATTTGTATGTTCAATAATCTTTTACGGGTGAAGTGTTGTTTACATTCTTTTGTCATTTACTTTTAAAATGTACAATATTTTTTTTCTCCAAAGTTGGAATCTATCATTTATTGAGGAATGGTAATTTAGCAAAACAATTTTCATTATTAGATGAATTGATTCATCTGAAAAACAATTGATGAATGAATTGATTTCAGAACGTTGATTGCTCCAGCCCTAATATACTTTTATGAACCTCTGAGGGATTTGGAGAACAGCTGGATTTATTCTGGGTTTATGATGCATGCTGGTTTTATTAAGTGGTTTTAGAGGAAAAAAGTGGCTGGATACAAACTAAAACCACCCTTTTCCCCTTTTTTATCTGCTTAATACTTTACTAACAATGCATAATATTCCTTCCATTTTCGCTCTACATTATGTTGACCTATCGATATATTATCCAATTAAATCACTAAAAGTTTCAATTTGTAACACAATGTCAAATAAAATACTTTCAAGCTAATGTGTAATATTATGGTGTCTTTTCTGAAGCTCAATTGGTTTTTCATTGTGGCAACAGAAAGCAATCATACCTCCATCAAATGTTTGCTAACAAACAGCATGTTTTTATTACAACCTCCTTAGAAGCAGAGAGAGATTAGAGTGGTGGGTAATTTTCAACATGCTTTGCGAAAACAGGTCATGGAATTCAATAAAATATTGGCAGGAGGGTAACAGTTGCTGTATAAAGCAACGTAGAAATTTAGGTTAATTAATTTAATAACATCATTAATGTACCATCATAAAGATGTAGACGGACACATATGAGTTTAGACAATTATAATCACATAGCTCTCTTAGAACTGGGAGGAAGAGAACAGAACGAGCTGAGCTGGCAGCAAAATAGAACAGACATTAAATCACCATAAATGTTACCTGAGAATTAAATAATAGATAAATGAAGAGCTTGGTGGAAAGACTCAGTTTAAGTGTGAAAAACTAAGCATGGGCTAATTTTGACTTCCTCAGTGGAGGCTTCTGCAGACCAACTTATCTGATCCCTTTCTGAACAGATACCAACCAGCTTTAGAAGTTAATGTCACATTACAGGGACAGCTAAAGCACAGACAAGCAATAAACCTACTTATGGAAAATCATGTGCCAGGAAGCCATAAGGTACGGAGGTTTTTATAGCGTTCTTCCAGCTGCTTTATCCACAAGAAGGCCAACGAACAATCAGTCTCAAGAACCAGTGGCACTGACTGAAGCATTTCTCATGCTGTTCTTCCCACTGGCGACTTGGGACGTAATCTGTCTGTCACATGTGTCACAGTGTTTTATAGACGCATGTTTAAGACTGTAAAGGATGGAGGTCCGGGCACAAGCTTAGACAGCCATGCCCTGCAGTTAAATGAGGGCCACAGACTGCTTTTAACCTCGAGGGCTTTCTGAGGCTGTCACTGGAAAGGCAAAATAATAAAGTGCCAGATTTGTCCCAAAACTCAGATCAATCTGTCCAGGTTTAGTACAGAGAAAACCATTTCAGAACACTGAAATGTTGCTCTGCTAAATAAACTCCCCAACAGGGTTCAGTAATAAACACAGATATGGGTTTACATGCAGACAAAAAAATGACACATAGTGAACTGAACCAAAGAAGAAAAGGATCATCCCAGATTTCTGAAGCAGCAGACGGTTCATTATAGCTGAATCATGGAGAACATTCTGGTGATTCATCTGACCTCGCCAGATCTCGTGTAAATGTGAGGCTGTGGACCTCAATCTGGCCTCCATCCTTGATTATGTTATTCTCCTCTGCCCTTTTCCACCTACACTACAATCAATTAAAAGTAAACAAAGAAGCAGAACTTACTCATGCTTCTTTACCTTATCTTCTTGCCAAAGGCTCCAAGCTTTCCTGCTATTTAATTAAACTCTTGTAAACAGATTCTACCGACAACATGTATGCATATATTGTAGTTTCTATTAACACTACTATGTTTATAATCACTCCACTTCCAGCACAGCTGCAAGATATACATCTTTATCTCATTAGTGACTCATTAGTTTGGTAAACAGCGTGCTAATGTGCTATGCTATTGTGATGCTGGTGAGAACGCACGGCCAAGACCCCCCTCTCATATGTCAGACCTCAGACAGTCCTGCTGTTGAGGTCTGTCGTTATTCTTTGAGGCAAAGTAGTCTCTGCGGTTTGAAAGGGAGTTCATGGAACATCCAGAGTGTTTAACAGTAATAATACAAGAACTAAATGATGTCTTTAATGTTCTGATTGGCAATGGTTAATAGAGAATCATACAAGTAATGGGTCCATCACTCCTGCCGCCTTCAATGATGAGGAAAAAAAAAAAACATTCAAAGCAAAAGAGAAAACCCATTAAAGGCTATATATAAACTGTACTTAATTTGTAGCTAATTTCTTGGTAGCATTTATTCATTGAAAATACAAGTTACATTTATGGCAATCTGACTAATATTGGGTAGCTTTTATTTTCCCTCTTTCATGTCTTTTTGAAAATTATATGAAAGCTGGTCTCACTAATTTATACATAAAAAAATGTTTTCATAAAACAGATTCAAAATATTGGGTTTAATATGTACAGATTTACTTTAGAGGACCCAGGCTTTAGACTCTTCAAGGGACATACACATTTTCCCTTCACCTGCAACAAATGGAAGAATTCAGCCTTTTAGAAATATTATTTGTTTGAAAAGTGTGCAAACAATTATGTCTTAAAAACTAGAGGAACGCAACTCATCACTCTAATTAACCTTACTCTGTTCTAATGCTACCAGGGATGTCCTGATCCTATATTGATATCAGTCCAATATCCAATCAGTCTAATAATGGCATGCTGATAACGTTTGGTAAAGTTTGGCTATTATTATTATTATTACATGGGTCAGTTGTTCTCTTACCTATGAGTATTGAGTATCACTTGTTCAAAGCTTTTATAACATTCCACAGAACTAAATAACTATTAAATTTATGTATTATGTGTTGATGTCGTATCAGGTCATATGGCCATCGGTCAATACTCAAATTTGCAGTATTGGTAAGTTATTGGAGATAAAAAAGATGTATCGGGACATACCTAAATGCCACAGCTAGCAAGCTACCTGGGATACCTCTCTCAGCAGCAGACTGCAGGATGGCTACCTTTAGCAGAGAACCTGCCTAATAAACTAGCTAATATCCATTATGCATGTAATAAGAACCCTGGTCTGCCATGTCCTTCTAATGGAAAACACTGTTGTAGGCGTACGCTCCTGCAAAGAAGGGCAGCTTCACACCGGGACCAATCGAGATTGTTGATTGGTCAGTTGCTGACTAGCCTCTAAGACTGAAATAGAGGTGGCACCATGTCAATTCCTTAAGTAATTAGGTTCTAATGGCCTCTATTGGTCATTTTTAATTTGTACTCTGAAAGCAGAAATGTTACAAGGCAACAGAAATGCCTCAATCCAGACATTGTAGTCTAGAGTTTGGTCTCCAATATGAAATCTATTCAATATTTGACCTATAAACTAAGGATCTTGTAGTTTACATCACACTGAAACAGTGACACGCATTTTGCTGCAAAATTTCCCTTTGTTAACTTGGTTGCTTTGTCTCTGAACACATAAAACATAGTCATAGAATGTTATTAGCTCGTATTACTAATTGTAGTCAGTATTTAAACAAGAGAAATCATCTCAGGTTAGAGATTAGATACCTCAATTATAGCAAAATGTCATGAAAAACTACATTGCTGAGGTTAGCTTGCAATCCAGTGAGTTTTACTTCTTAGATTTTGCTAATGTTGTAGTCATGACTAGGACCGCAACTAACGATTTTTTTGCTAATCATTTAATCTGTTTATTATCCATTTTTGATTTTATTTTTTGTTTATCACTATGTTGGCAGCACAGCTGTTCATTTAACACATCTGGCAACTCTGATCGTGTATTTATATTCAATAACAAATATGATTTTTTTTTTTAAGTTATCTTGGGTGACAGTCATCAGCAGGGAATCTTGAGCGGAAATTTAGCTCAGAGGTTGAAATGATAGGAGACAGGAGCACAACTAATGAAAATGGATTCATTAGTTGTGCTTGGGACTACAGCTTGACCACAATTCTGGTATCTGTGGGACCTCTAGATTTAAATGAGCAGTGGAGAAAAATAAATCTGATATTTCTGCAGGATAGTTTTTGTTAATGTTTGTCTTTCCTTTTCCTTTTTCAACACAACCGCTTTCCTCCTGTCCTCTTCTCTACACTCAGGTGGTGTCAGTCAGTGTCATAATGACTGCAGGCAGGTTGCAGCTGCAGCTGGGGGGATCATTACACTACCAATGATTTGAAATTTTTATTAACTGTGTTTAGAGGGTCAGGTTTGGAGAAAGCCAATCAGCAATGGTCTCAATGGTCTCATTGTCCGAGACAGGACCGAGTTAAAAGCGTGTCAATACCAAGATGAGACCAAGAACCTAAAAATATGGTCTCAAGACTCAACACTTGCAAATTCAACCTTTTCAAAAGAGCTGAAATTTACCTGTAAATTGGGGGCCTCCTTGATGTAAAAGAAGAAAGAAAGATAATTTTTCCCAACACCCACGTTAAATACCTCCTCCAGAAAGTCCTAATGGTAAGTTTGAGGTCAAAATTATAACATCAAAGCACATCTAAATCAGATAAAAATGTGTGGTGGCACTTTAAAATGAGCCAGTAAATAATCCCAAACATCTCAATGTTAAGTGCTTCAGTGCTCATCTCTTCAAGGTCAGCATTAGTATTATGGGTAAAGGGAAACTGTGTATTTCATGGCTACAGATTTACTTGTCAACTCAATGTCATTCTCTGGAGGTTTTATATGTCTGCTTAGTGCAACACAGCTACAATACCGGTTTTATTGCTTCCATTTTTGAGGTAAAACCCACATCAATAGTGACTGAATTGAATAAAAATAACTCGGGGAGCCTTGTTCCAGTTGTTACCTGTGTCTGCACCACTGGAGCATTAGCAGGGGCAGGTCCAGATGAGCTAGATTGATCCTCTTCAACGGTGCATGTCAACTGGTGCTGAAGGACCTCTTCTAGAGTATTAAACTCCTGGTAGCAGGGGAAGCACATGTATACAGATGTGGTCTCCATGACTGCTGGGGAATAGAGATCAACATTTTATAAGAAACACAGAAATATGAAACTGCCTTAGATAAAAACATAAGGTGTAACAGTTCACAAAACTAATCCATGCTTTTAAATAAGTGAGTAAGAGCTCTACGTGAAGCTTATACAAATTCTTCTAGTGTAATTCATCTTAGGTTTGGTTGTGAACATTGCCCTCTCCTGATAAAAAGGAGTGTTTGCAGCACTGAGGCAGCCTGGGAGCCAAGATTTCCTAAAGTTGCCAAGATGACTCATCGCGTGGTGAGCCTGAGCCGATCCCTATTTTCACCACGCAGGTTGCTGCTCGAGTGGAGACCGCACAGAGTCTCTCTCTCTCTCTCTGTCTGTTTCATTTCATGGTCTGAACCGAAATTTGGCTTAAACAGCAATTAGAAACGTATTGTAATTGGTCTCACCAGAGGTGCATTCAGGCTCACGCTGCTGCTGAGAGGAGCAACAGCCCAAACACAATCTCTGCAGTGTTTCCTATTTAATCAAACCTCATGGTGCATAAAATACTTCTCTTTGGGCAAAAAAAATATAATCAGTGTATTGCACCGGCTTCAAATCTAAAAAGCCCTCTACTTTGTCACTTCCATAAAAAGAAAAAATATTGGTCTTTATTTTGTTTAATGATCTGACAAAAGACGTTTACTCAGAAATGAGTTATTAAATAATGAATGCTGTTTTTTAATTTGGCGATTTCTAAAGATTTGCTGTAGATTTAGAGATATGACATGTATAGTGCGTTATACAATGCAATAACAGGTGGCAACCTTATTAACAGCATTCAGCTATTTTCAGAAGCTTCAAGCAGCACCAACTAACTTTTGACCCAAGAGTTTGCTAAATTTGAGAGGTATTAAATCATTTCTCAGGTCAATATAAAGCAGGTGGTACATATTGATGCTGCGTGCGGGTAGCCCTTCTCAAAAACTTGCCTATATAACATGATAGGGTTGGATCCGTTACTGAATGAGTCATGTGACCTCGGGCGTCGCTCAACGTCAGTTTGAGCTACCCTAACATGATTGGACATTTTTTTGGCTCTCTGATGTAGGATTTAATCTAGAGCACCATTTCACAAAAAACCTCAGCCTTATTTATTCTATATTTTTACTATAAAGTGATGTAATCATGTTAATTTTTTAATGATTTTTTGTTTACATTAATTTACTTACAATTATTGGTGTATAAAATATGCAAAAAATATATTAGATAAATATAAGGGGAAGGGTTAATGAAGACCAAAGCACAGGAGGGAAACGCTTTGTTATCAGGACTCCATAGTAGAAAGGAGATAGAAGGAACAAACAAGCATGCAAATATGAATTATTAGGCTCAGTTAAATTAATAATGTGGTTAATTTTCATCATGTGATTAATTTAGTTCTTGTTTATAGTTTAGAGGCCTACTTAGAAGCCTACAGCTTTAAGTCCATATAACCTATTGTCTTTCTGTAGTAAATGCAGAAGGATTTTGATGGTTAAAACTAGCCAATCATTTAGCATTAGAGCTGTACTGATTTTTCCCCCTATCACTTAGGGGTGTAAATCACACCCATCATGGCAATTCGAGTCAGTATCAATTTCCTGACCCAACGATTCGATTATTTTCCATACTCAAGAGTACACCATACAATTCGATTAATTGGTACATTTTATTTTTTTACATTACAGGCTAGACAATGTTTAAAATTTGAAATAAATCAATGAAAGCTGTAATATCATTATGCATGTTATTTGAGAAACAACAGCAAATACCAGAAGTAGCAAAGTGGTTCTCCACCTAGGCCTATGAAAACCTCATTCACTGAAAAATAATAGTGCCTTTGAATTATACATTCTGTAAGGCCTTGCATCAAAAAATACTACAAGCGGAAAGAGGGTAGTGGCTAAAGGAAGCGAGGTAAAACGGCAAAAAAGGTTTAGCGCCGCCGCAGCACAGGCGTCAGAATTACGTCCAGGAGCAAATGGATAAAAACAGACAGGAGGAAAAAAAAAAAAACATGAATCGATACTCTTGCGGACGTATCGCTGCATCGGATCGTCTGCTATTGGATCGATGCATCGATACAAAATGGTAATTATTTGCACCCCTATCACTGCAACCACTGGGCTACCATAGTTCCCAATGATGACAGCCTGTAACTTTTTGTTCCTAGATGCGCAGTCCCCACTACCAAACAAGCTCTTCATGTCACATTTTGTGTTATGTTTTCATTGCTTACAGCGGCAGCACCCACCAACTTCATTTAGCAGCATGTTTCAACAGCTTGTATTTAGTTGTGCTCTGAATTCAGGTCAACTTCCTAATTGGATAATCAAAATAAAAGGAAGTTTTATTTTTTATTTTTTTTGTGAAAGCAGAAGGGGGGGGGGGGTTTTAATTGGATCTGTTATGGAAAAGACAATTTATTTTTATGCAATATGACCCTGTCCTATGTAGCACAAATTGACAAGTATTTTTAATGACCCCGAGGAAGAATATGGTGACATTAGAGGAAGCACTTCCTTTTACCAGGATGTAACTCCAAAAAGAACCAACCTCAGTATGAACATATCCATCTTGAACCATTTTAAGTTGGCGTTTGCACAAGGTGTCACGTTTTAATTAAAGGATTAAATATATATGTTTAAATATGTAGAGTACTCTTAAAAGATTACAAAAAATATAACGTATTAAAAGATTACCAAGATAATTAAAATACACTACGAAAATCTAATGTTTCAAAAAAATCGACATAAAGCCTAACTAAATGCCTCAATTGAAGGCAAAGATTTCAGCTGCTAAAGGAATGTAGTTCAACTAAGTGTTCATAATCTCTGGTTAGACCACCTGAGGTGAAGATCAGTAACAAGACAGTTACACTGAATATCTTGTACAAATCATTACACACATGAGAGAAAAATCTCCTAAAGGTTTTAAAGCATTTGCATTAGTTAATTTAGAAAGGCTCTGCTGACTTGGTGCCCTTAGATCTGACTTTTTTTAAATACTACTACAGGGACTGTCTGGGGACAGATCCTGCCATTTCCAACTTTAAGGAATTTTATTGTCCATTTAGAGAAATCATTCTGCATGATCTATTCATTTTAGTCCCATCCTCTTTCCATGTAAAGGTTTCATGTAGGATAAGGGTCTGCAACCTGGTGGTATTAAAAGTATCTTAAGGTTTTTCATAACTTTTACCAAAAATTATAAAGAACCAAATAACATTTTAAAAAGAGTACATATTCTCTATAATTTTTTTGCAAATAAATTGCATAAATAGATTTCTTATATCTGTGTCTAAGTGTCACACGCATTATTTGTAGGGGATGTTAGAGAACTGACATGAGTAGCTCTACCCTGGGCTTCTGCTGTCTGCTTACACACGGTGGTTCACTTAAAAACCGACATGAAATTAAATGATTTTCTTAGAGTGAAAAATTAAAATAACATGATTTTACATAAAAAACAAGTCTGTCCACTCTAGTATTTGACATTAGTTTTGTGTCAGTTGCACACTTATATTTACATATAAGTGTGCATACATATTTAAAGCTACTGAAAAAACATTTTTTTAAAGAGAATAATTATTTCAATGTGGAAAATCATCAAACTTGGATAAAAAAAAATTGTGTTACTCTTTTTGGTCTAAAATGTGATTTTGCATTTATTGCGCACTTTCATCTGGTTTGGTCTGCTGCGGTTTCCGTAGCGTCCTGAACGCGCTGGCGCGCGCTTTCAGGAAATCCTATACACTACTGTTTATGCTCTAAAAACATTCTAAATGACTTCGTTTCGAGTAACTTCTGGACGCTACCCACTCAGGACACTTGGAATACATTGGACGAGCAGTATGGAGGAATATTGACACGTTTTTTGTGGACTTTTATGGACCTTTCTGTCTCGGGCACCATAGACCTCCATTATTTGAATGTCAGCAGACAGCAAGAAGCCTCCCAGATCTCCAGATGCATTTGAGATATCAAAAAAGTACTCCAGAGTGTTGTTCAGCATGGGGGTGAGTAGAAAATGAAGGCTAATCATGTTTTGGGTGTACTATTCCTTTAAGGAGCCCCAACCAAGCTCCCAGGGCATATTTAGTGCTATACAACTCAATAGGCTGACTTTAGTGTATGGATATTTATTTATTTTAAAGTCTAATGTGTTATTGATGTCCAAGAATTTGGGGTTTTCATTAACCGTAAACCTTTAAACTAAAACTGTCTCCGGTTTTCATTTTTGCACTGAAGGAATCAAATTAAACTCTGACAATCCATTTTACTAAGATGCACCTGTAGCTCAACTGTTCTGTATTTTATTACACAAACTTAAATTTGTATCACCTAATTTACTTTATCTTAAAGCTTTGTATAACATTTCCTATTTTGAAGATTACATTGCTGTTAAATGTATAGTTGATGCAGGAGTTTGAAGGGTTCTTGTTGAGAATGTGCTTTACAGATAATACCTTTAAGTTAACACTAAAGTTTACCCTTTCAAAATAAGAAGAGAACATAAAATGGAGTCATGCAGGTCATATTTGCAACCTTATTGCACCATTACGGTCTGTTTCTTGATGTACCCTTCGTGTTATCAGTTTTAAAGTAGCGGACCATGTATATGTAAACGCAGGATGTCCTAATGTTAACCATCATGGTTTAAATACTGCTGAGCAAATGTCCGCGGTGGACTGACTAAATTGTAACAAATAATTAAAAATCGCTTGTATAAGCATAACTTAAATGTACATGACGGTGTAACGTTTAACTACTATGATTGTGAATTGCTGGGAGTCCGATGAGAAGCAATAAACATGCCCGTTCAAAGCTAAACTGAGCTAGTAGCAGTCAAAGACGGTGGCTTTATCTGTGAGCAGAGCAGCGCTGCTAACATGGCCATCTTTTTTTGTAACATGGCTAACGTTTCCCCGGTGTGGCAGCCAGCTTCTCTGCCAGGTCTGATAGCTTCATCCTCCCTACGGGGATCGAAGAAACGATGGCTGGAGCAGGTAGCCCGTTTTACTTCTTGTACCAGCACTGCTTACTTTCTGATATCGAGGAGAAGAAGAAGAAAAGACTCGAGAAGGAGGGCGGGATGTGCTTCTTCGGTGGTATAATGGCGGCGTCAGACTAAAAGTTAGCATTAACTGTCTCCCCCCGTTGAAATCCTCCGTATGCATTCGCCACAGGTAAATGTAGCAACATAGTAATTAACGAAAGAAAACGACCTTGGCTCAAAATAAGTACAAGTAATATAACAAAACTCACCGTCGACATACGTTACTCGTCGAAGAGGAAATAGCACAACTTCAGCTTTTTCTGCCTTTTGGAAGGCTCAATCTGATTGGCCGAAAGGGTCATTTTCTCCACCAATAGGGTTCAATTTCACAAGCCACAAGGAATTTGTAGTCCAAAAGCCCGCCAGCACCAACGGCAGAGCTACTGGTTGGTTTAAAGATACCCATTGCAATTTAATATTACCAAGCTGTTTGGTAAATTAAATACATACATCTATTATTTGTGTTTTATTGGATTAACGTTTTCTTTATTTATAGTATAAAATGTCCACATAGCAACACAAAATAGGAAGGAAAATAATCCTTAGATTACAACATATAAGGAAATATCACCAAAAACATAATATCAGATAAACGTAAAACCATTCAAAAAGACAAAAAATAGATTATATATATCTATATATATTTATTTATATTTATTTAAAAATATATTATCCCAGGAAAAAAAAAATGTCCCAGTTTTTTTTTTTGTTTTTTTTAAGTCTACATAGACAGTGATGTTTATGGGAACGCCTCCTGTAGTGTTCTTTATATTTTCTATGTATTTACCCTTTATAGAATGAATAAACCAGGTCTTAGCTAAGTAAGCAATATTGAAATAAACAAAAACTGGATAAACAGTATTAATTTGATTAACTTAGATTGTATCAGGATTTGTTTGAATTGTATCTTTACTATCTATTTAAAGTCTCTTTGGATGACTCTTTGAATTGGGGCAAGACTTCTTAAATGTGTAAGCTATTTTGTTTTCTATTTTTGTTTTTTGTTTCTTCTTACAGGCATTAATTTTGTTACCTGACAACATCCTTAAAAAGAATTATAAAAAATAAACCCCGAGCTGGAAAGGTTTTAGAGATGAGCATAAAGGCATATTTCTTTTTATCCTACTTACAAATCTATAGTTTTGAAACATTAATCTTCTTTGTGCTTCACTTTCCCTGCACTCCTCTTCTGTTCTGCTCCACAGTCTTGTCACCTTCTGCACTGATTATTGCAACACTCTTCTTTTTGGTCTTCCCCAGAAATCTCTTCATAAACTTCAGTTGACCCAGAATTCAGTGGCTCATTTAATTACCAAAAGCTCCTCTTTCCATCACATCAGTCCTAAAGGAGCTTCACTGGCTTCCTGTCAACTTCAGAATCATTTTAAGATCCTCGTTTTTGCTTTCAAGGTCATCCATAATCATGCTTCCCCATACCTCTCAGATCGAATTCAGATTGTTACCCCCTTGTGTAGATCTTAGATCTTCCTCTTTCACCTGTTGAGCCAGATATCCACCGTATCACCATGAGGAGCAGAGCTTTCTCCTGCTCTGGTCCCAGTTCTTATGGGCTGATTATACTCCATGCAGCAGTGTGTCGCAGTGAGCTTGTCGCAGATACTATTGGTTTATGTCAAATATTGAAGCATGGTCTGTTATTCCACGCCACAACGCAACAGAGACAATCACAAACTTGCTGTGGGTCTAGTTTGGGATTGTCTCTGTTGCGTTGTGGCGTGGAATTTGTTTATGCAACAACGGAGGGACATTAGGAAAGCAGGAGAAAAAGAGCGCACATGAAGGTGGAAAAAGGGTCCCAGCGTTCTCGTGCTGGTCCATCTTAACGACTCATTTTCCGCAAAGGCAGTCATAGAAACAAAACAAGCCGGCACAGTACCAAACAGGAAATACGTATAGTGTAGAGCGGATGTATTTTTGACCAATCGGAGCCCTCCTGTCTGCAGTCACCTACAATTTTGGAGAGGTGCAGCAGAGTGTCTGCGGCAGGGGCGGAGGCACATTTGCGTTTACAGCCACACACACGCAGACGACCTGGTTTCTGAGTATAAATTAGCCGTAAGTCATAAATCTTTAAGTATGTTTGCCAATCAGCATTGAGCAGCCAGCTTCACCACCTACCCCTGCTCCATAGACACCCTAAGACTATTAGCCTCACTGGAAGTGACGTATTTTAACCTCTTATCCAATCAGGGTCTACTTTCTCTTGTTTTCTCAATAGACCGAGGCTCATACCCCAGCAGGGATTTCTCATAGAGGCTGACAGGCAAAGTCCTGCTGCTCCAGAGAGGAGAGGATATCACATCCAAGGGCAGAATAAACAGCTAAATTTATGAAGTTTGACAATTTATATTTTACCAAGTTTTATGAAATTTATTGGGGAGTTTTAGCCTCCCTAATATTCAATGAGAAAACAGCAGTGTTTATAAATCAAGGCTGAAACCTCATCTGTTCATGACTGCATACCTCCACTGTTTTATATATAGAGTGTATATTGGATGATATTGTGTATTTTGATTGTTTGTTTTACAGTGTCTTTGTGTGTCCTGAAAGGTGCTTTAAATAGCATTATTGTTAATACTCAAATAATATATAAGACAAAGAAATAAACACTACAAGTTTTTCCCAGATGTCTCTATGGCTCACCTGTAAAGTTCTTTAACTTTTTCGCCCAGTGGTCCTGGCAACTAGCCAATATTTCCACCACTCCATTGAAGTGGATGCACATTCTGTGTGCAAATTGTATTGGATGTTATAATAAATTCCCTGATGGTGTATCATTTACTTTCTTAATGACACATCTTTTGAAGGTTCCAAGGTCTCAGTGCAGCTGCTGGAGCTGCCATGGCTGAGTTTGTAATGTTTTTAATAAACCGACACCAATAACTGCCTTGAATACCCTCAGAGGGTTGATAAACCTGACTATATGCCCAGGCACTTATTAAATTACCCTTGCTCAGGGTGAGGACAGCCAGCTGTTTGGTGTATCTCATTTCTGCTGCATCAGGCATCCCAGGTCAGTTTGTGTATAGACTGGTCCACTCCACTAATTTCCAAGAATGCACTGTCTGTGGCCACCGGCTGATTGAAAAGATGAGCAGCTCCCTCAGACTCCTTAACCCGACTCCAAATGGTATTAAATAGCCAGTCGGGCATTCTGCCAGGGAAGCCACTTAGGCTCCAGAAAAACTGCCCAATCTGAGCGACACACTGCGGAACAGCATCATTCAACCTTGTCATATCATATCAGCATGATGACAGCTTAGCAGGCACGCTTTTCATTGGAGGCTATGGTTCATAGACTGCAGGTCTCAGGAGGAAGAAGATATGCTGTCAGACAGCATTGATTGCTTTGCAACTCCTCCTCTATGGTCTTCTGTTATTTTGGAAATGTCTGCATATCTGCTCTAGTACAAGCTATTCACAGCTCAGGGACTGAAATGCAAATGTTGGTTCAGTTTGTTTACTTTTAGAGATATTGCTCAACCCACAGGACAAGAAGCAAAGTGCAGCAGTTATTGAAACTGCAATTCCTAAGCTCTTCTTAAACACGCAGTCCATAATTAGGTTTAATATTTTTATTTTTTTTTACCTTGGAATCAGCAAATGACAATATATCCCCTTTAGATAAAATATAGAAAATCATGATGTAGCCCTATATAAAGATTAAAAGATAAACAGTTTTCTCTAAATATTCATTTCCTTTTTTAAGTCATTGTAATTTGTCTAATGATACAAGATATTTCTGATTTCCTTTACACCTTTACAATTATAAAAAAAGGAAATTTGATAAACCGAATTTGAAAATTTTTCTCCAAGCCTCGGAAACATAAGCATATGATAATATTAAAGGAAAGAGCTAATGTTTATTTATATAAACATTTTACTATACGAAAACACCAAAAACTACTATTATTAAAAATATACAAAATAAAGGAAACAAAACAGAACCAAACACTGAATAAAATTGCATACCAGAATACCCCACCATGTTAAACAATAGAAAATATTAGAATAGAAAAGTGAGAATATAAGCAAAGAAGAGTGTTAGGATACAAATGGATAAACAAACAAAAAAAAAAATTGAATAGAATTTGAAAATAGAAAATGTGCTTCAGGTGAACAAGCAGTACATAAACACCTACTGCAAAGGTTCTATCATGTCGTTAAAACATCTCATGAAAATAAACTTAAAAGCCTGTGATTTGTCATAATAATAGATCGTAAATAATTCACATAATATTGTTACTGAGTTATTGCTTTAGTTGGATACCAATAATAGGGTATTTAGGATAAAGTAAAGGCGCATTTTAATGTTCTTTAGGGATAAATATTAAATACTCATATTATTTCTAGGACATTTTTTTCTAAAATGCATTACATTCCTTTTGATAAGAACATTTTTGGTTAGCAAAGGATGTTAATTTTGAGGTTAGTGGTTGAAAAGGAGGTTAGGCTTTGGATTAATTAAAAATGAAATACTCTTCTGAAGAGCATTTCTGATCATTCCTGAGCCGTTCAGATGTGATCCAGCTGCAGAAGGGCAATACTTCACCTGTCAAGGTCAGACTGATTTTCAGTGTAATTTGCAGTAGCTTGGTTCCCATGACAACTACTGGGATTAAATAACCACCCAGCTGCCTATGACATGAGTCTATTCAATAATACAACAAACTATATGCAACTATTTTAGTCAACATTGATTGAAAGGTTCGACCAAAACAAAAATCCAAAACACAAGACACATTCTTATTCTCTTTTTAATTAGGGTAAAACCTTTCAGTAAAAGTTGAATAAAAAAAAAAACCCTATACAAATTATATTAAATTGTAAACATATTTCCACTTTTCATGAAATATATATATATATATATATATATATATATATATATTCAGTCTGATACCCCTAAACACAACTTAGTGTGACTATTGTTCTTCATATATCTCCTTACCGCCATAACGATGTTCACATGTTTAATCATACTAGAAACACAGAAGTTTATTACAAATCATGAGTTTAAAAAGTATGAAGACTTAAGAACACAGCAAACCAGTTAGGGCTAACATTGTGCTAAAGTTTTAGGTTACAGAACAATTTTCCAAAGTTTGAACCCAAAACATGTCAATCCACTTCATGACTGACTGGTATAGAGTGTTCCTCATACGTTCAGCCAAGAGGCCTTTGGTACATCTGGAGGAGCTGCTGGGGTCAACAGCTCAGGTGGATGAACATGTAAGCATATCATTT